GCTTGTATAACTACCATTTTTAAAGGCCCTCCTTCCTCATCTTGCCCTAACTGCTCAGCAGAGTCACATTCTACAAACTGTGCTGGTGATATGAAAGCAAACAAAAACTTTAACATTGTACCAAGAACTACATCGAGTTCCTCAGCTGACCCAAATTCTTGATTAGGCTCAAAAAAAAAAAAAAAAAAAAAAAAAAAAAATCACCGTCTACTTTCATCAAAAGTACAATGAGAAAAACAGAAATGCCTAGCTAGGGTGAGCACAGTTCCATTTTTAACATCTCACCTGAATGAAGCCTTCTTGCAATTATGTGATACACAACACACGGCAATCTTAAGAGTAAATAATGGCAGAACTTAAATATTTACTTCAAAGAAGTCTAAAATTCTTTAAAAATTTGGCAGCAAAAAAAGCTGTCAAATGGGAAAATGAGTATTTCAAGCAAAGCTTAATAACCAAAGTGTAAAGAAAACCATATTAAACATAATTTATATTCCTTATCATAAAAACATCAATATATTCAAAATAAATGAATATAAGTGAAGGATGTTAAGGGTGGCTATTTCTTTGTTCCCTTTCTTTATGAGAACAATTTTGGGATAACATTAAATAAAAGAAAAAAATAATTTAAGTGGAAAAATATTCTATATTGAAACAAAGAATGCAGAGCTATAGGGCCGATATAAAAGTTAAAAATGGAAAGTAACAATAATTAAGTTTCATTTTCCAAGGTAATAATTTTAGATTATCACTGGTGCTGTATCATATGTGCATTGTGACAAAGATGGCGGAAATTTAAAATACAAAAACCAAAAAGTTGGAACAAATTAAAGAGATAATAGGAACAATATAACTAATGTTATTTTCCAAAAAGTAAAACTGTCCAATGTGTAACTCAAACCATCATTCTTCAGAAAAGTATATATATATAATATATATAAAAGCACTATTTATTATTGTACCATGCTGTATTATTTTAAGACAAAGTATTAAAAAAAAACATTCATGGTAGAAGGATAAAGTCTGTAGTTTATTTAGATTTTGAAACGCAACAAAAATTTTCCGATCACTCATCTAGCTGAAAAAGAAACTGTAGTTACTGGAATTAGTAAACACTTTTGGTTTGTAAAATTGTAATGAGCAGTGTTCATTAAAAGGTAACTCAAGATAAAATAAGCAATTAAAATGCCCATTTCTTTAGTTTCTCTGGGTACTTTGTTTAATTATCCAATCTATCAAGATTCTAGAAAGAGAAGGACTAAACCAGGTTTTACAGTTTCAAAGATACCCCCAATTTTCCTTTTATTGCCCAAAATTAAAATTGTCAATTATGAGATGATTATGACACAACCATATTAACCCTAAAAATCTATTTTTTTGAGAAATCAAAAATACCAAATAGAACTCTAAGTGCTCTATGTTAACTGAAGTGTATATGTAAAGTAAAATACAATTAAGCTTCAAAACGTGGAATATACATTTTATGTAAGCATTAAGTTCTTGGGAATGTAATCTACAGAATATTTTCTTTACTAAAACTTCAAAACCTTGATACCTGCACATGAAAAATCATAAAAAATATCTAGGTACAACTGTACAAAGAAACTGACATCAATATGCATACTTCCATAGAGAAGTGAATGCTTCAACAGTTGTGTATTTTGGTAAAAGTTTTGAAAGTATGCATATTTTAAAAGTAATTAGGCTTTTAAATAGTGGAGTCTTAGACTATCAGATTTTTATTACTTTTTTCTTCAAAAAAACACATGTCAATATAATGCAAAATGAAAATCAAGGGTATATGGCATATCATTCTTTTTAAAAGGGTAGTTTCTCGGTTTCTTTTTCCTCCTGTAGGACACACTAATTTATTTAAGCCATAATCTCTTGACATTTAAACTTTTAAGTTCACTCTGTCTGTAAAGTATACTCAGATTCCCTGCTGAAGTGCAATGACTATGCTGAAAAACTTAGAAACAATATGAGTAAATTTCACACAATTACTAATCTCCTAGAATGTACAATGTTATCAGTTAGGAAACAATTGTGCGAAAGTCTTTTTTTTTTTCCTTTTTAACGGTGTAGGTGGAATAGCAAGTTTCTGATCTAAAACAAGTAATGCATCGCTTCTATAAAGGTGACAACATGTAAGGCAGTTCAAAGAATGCTGACTAACCAGACAAATGCAGTTATTGGATTATCTTGCTATTCGTATCAGCTTAACTTGTTATAACGCATTGCTTTTAAATCTGTACAGCACTCCATTTTACACAGAGTAACCCCACTCTTGATTAATCTGTTCTAAAGTGCCAGTATTATTTACACATTTTTTTTAGCCAAAAGTCTGGCCAGTTGTGGCATCAGGTGAAGATGTCATCCCAGCTCTGTTGTCATTTACATTCACCAAGGGAAATTCTGAAAATTCAGCACTTGTCCCTGGTCCCCGAAGGTTCACCTGTCCATTGGCAGTGCTAAACTGAGTAGCTATTCCAGCTCTTGACCCATGATATGGAGCACGGAAGGGCTGTTCAAAGGAGCTCATTTGGTAAGCTTGGTGGACAGGCTGAGCCTCAGCTTTCTTCTGAGAAGTCACTTGATCCAAAAAGTCCTGTGTTGATGTGGCAGAAGCATGGTTTGTCTCATCACCTGAAAAGGGAAATGAGTGCTGTGAATCACCAACTATTAGTCCAAAGTGAGACTTATCTGGAGTTGTTCTTAGTGGAGAATTCATTCCTGATCGAAAGCTATTGATGGGCATGGCTGCAAAGACTTGCTTGTCTATCGAGGAGAATGCTGGCTGATTTGGAAGGGTCTGGTTATCAGTCACAAAGTTAAGGCTCGGGTTATTCAAATAGGCATCATTTTGGCTAGTTCTGTCCAAAGCCTGCTGCAGAAACTTTGAGTACTCCTGCAACATGTTGGCTTTATCTGATGAGGATGCTTGAGAGCTTGATCCAACATTCTCTGCCTGGGTGACCTCGGGTACTTCTGAAGAATTTATTGATATGCTAGAAGTCACTTCAGTATCCGCCACACTGAATGATATCTCATGCTGTCCGTTAGCTTTATGGGTATAATGATCCAACAGAGTCTGTAGTACCTCATCTGGAATAACATTTTTGTCATGATTACTCTTAATCTCCACATTTAGTGCCTGTGAATCTAATATGGATGTGGTACTTTCGTCGATGACACTGGCCACAGCGGCTTGTGTTACAGAAGGCTGAGAAGCTATGGTACCCACATTGAGCGCATACTCCCTGCTGTTGTTACTTGCTGCTTGAAGATACCGCTTCTTCTTCAAAAACTGCATGGCATCATCATAGTTAGTACTACTGTGCACAGGTTTACTGGGCCCCTCTTGCAAATTATCAACCTGATCCATGTCAGCATTGCCTTCTGAGTCCAGTAAAGCTTGTTTATCCACCAGTTCAAAAGCGTACTTGGAAACTTTGCTCTCTTCATATGTTGATAAAGGCGAAATTGTTTGATTTTGCTCCAGGGGCTGTTTCAGACTTCTCTTACTATTGATTTTTTTGAGAACCAACTTAGGCGGGTGTATTTCTCCTGACGCATCTTCTAAATGCGATCCCCCTACTGAAGAATGTGGCATTTCAACAGCATATTCTGCTACCATATACTCATCTTTCACTTTAGTGCTTGAAGAATAAAGAGGCAAGTAATCATTTTTGTCTTTCTTTAGGTCAGATTTATCCAAAGCACTCTCTTTGTCCATTCCGGAGGATTTCTTCTCAGCTTTCTGCCTTTTCTTTTTTGGCAGTGAGTTATCTTTTGGTGATGTAGAAAAGCCAGAATCTTCCTCAGATGTCAGAAGGCCACCTTTAATGGCGCATCTGTTTAGTTTTTTGTCATGATTTTCATGGCACATACGTTTATGTTTCAATACACGATCTGTTCTGGAAAAATACTGTCAAGTTCAGAGGTTGGTTGTGGGTTTTTGTTTTTGTTTGTTTGTGATTTTGGTCAACCAAGAAAAGAAAAGAAAAAAAAAGAAAATAAGATAATATAAAGACATATACATATAATAATCTTATATAATTCTTATATAAATAATAGCTAAGCAATTCTAAACAAATTCACTGAGTCGATGCTCTATTATAAATCTAATAAACAAGAGAAAGTTGATTTTTTCAAATAGTTCCAGTAGTAAATAACATTAATAGATTATTTTATAATATAATTAAGATGAAGTAGTTCATACCATCTCTCTCTTACCTGTAGACAGTATTCACACTGGTAAGGTTTTTCTCCACTATGAGTTCTCTTATGCCTTTCCATATGATATTTTTGTATGAATCTCATACCACATTCATCGCAACGAAATGGTTTTTCACCTAGTACATGATATAGAAAGTTTAAAATAAAATTGTAAAATAATGAATTGACTCGCTATTAGAATCTAAAATAAATGGCTTTTAAATGTTATGATAATTTTGCTGTTTTGAATAGACAAAAAAAAAGTCTTCAATATGTCTTCTGATTTAATTTGTCAAGTCCATTTTGCTTCATAAAAATGAAAAGAATTGGCACTTGCCATTGGAAAGACAAAGCTGAAAGCAGGCATAGTCAATTTTATATGCTACTATTGCCCTTCTTAACCGTTTTCATCAGCCAAGTCCAAATATCCACCATCTCATGCCATCCTACTTTTGCCTTGAGTCACGCTGCGCCTTCAGTCAGGAATGTCCACCCCTGGGTGTCTGGATGCTACAATGCCTTCAAGACCCAGCCCATCTCCTTTGGACTACACTGCCCTGTCTTCCCGGGGGAAGGTACCTTCACCTTCTTTACATCTGCAGAGAACTCCACCTGTACCACTGCTATGGTACTCATTACTTCCAAATCAGTAACTGTTTTGTACATCTCTAGTCTACTAGATCACATTTCTTTAGGTCATAATCTAGGCCTAAACTATATTTATATAACCCAAAGTGACTTGTGCAATTTTTAAGTACCAAATGAACAACAAATTATGGCTTTTGCTATAGATTACTAATGGAAAAAATGTTATGAGCTGTATAGTCTGAAGCTTCTCGGCAGTTGGAATCTAAGCTGAGAAGCACTTTTAAAAACTTGATTTGATTAAAGCCAAGAAAAGAAAACATCTAGGGAGTGTGGGGTCGGAAGTAACACAGCAAGGTATTGTGAGATGTCCAGGGGAAACAGTGTCTAAAAAGAGAATCTAACTTGACAACAAGGAAATTATTTAAAACTTCCAAGAATATAACTTTTGTCACTGCTATGGAGTTAGCAAGCCTTAGGGTTGCAGGGATTTTCTAGTAGCCTTCAAACCGTACTCCTGGGGTTTCAAAGAGGCTCCTAAAGGCTGTACTTGCGTGGCAAAAGGCTCAACGCCTACTACCCCAAATTCTGTACAGAACAGCTATTTATACTCCAGGGTTCTGAGTAAGGATCTCAAAGTTCAGAGGTGAGAAAGATAGCTTAATACAATGAAAAGAAACACTGAAGTCCAGAAAAGTTAAGGTACAATGGAAGCTGGGAGACAAAAGCATTTATTATGGAAGTTTGGAAGTGAAAGAAGTGAGAAAAAGGAAATGAGAAGTTAATATAACGCAATCCACTAGAAAGCATGTATTCTGATGGACAGGGACACTGAACTGCTTGAAGGCAGAGGAGCCAGTGAAGAAGATAAACTGAATATGAATACTTAACTAAAATAAAAATAGAATATTATGGTGAATAAGGAGAAGGAAAGTAGAGTACAAGTAATGGTATTAGAAAGAAAAAGAACAAGCACATGTTTTGAAACAGAATGTAGGGATAAAACTCATCAAGGTCAGAAGTTAAGGTCATTAATCAAATGAGAAAGAGAAAAGAGAAAACTCTTGAGTTGATTGGAATTTGGTTAATTCTGCATGATACTCATGGACTGGAAGACTAAACATTATGAAGATGGCAATACTACTTAGACTGGCCTACAGGTTCAAAGCAGAGATCCACAATCTGATCCTAAAATTTGTATCCAGAAGAGCCAAAACAATCTTAATTTAAAAAGAACCGTATAAGAGAACTCATACTTCCAGATTTCAAAACGTACTACAATGCTATAGTAATCAAGGTAATATGATAATGGTTTAAATAGACATGTATACATATCAAGGAATAGAATTGAGAGTCTAGAAATAAACTCTTACAGTTATGGTCAAATGATTTTCTAAAAAGGTGCAAGGTAATTCAGTGAGAAAAGAACCACCTTTTCAACAAATGGCACTGAGACATTTGATACCCACATGCAAAAAAAAACCAGATCATAAGCAAAAATCAAAATCACATAACCACAAATACATCATAAACAAAAACATACATCATTAACAAAAATGGGTCATAATGGATCATAGGCCAGCTCCACAGCCTAGTAGTTAAGGAAGCCGGATTAGTAATTAAGGAATCAGCAATTAAGAGAGCCAGATGCCTACATGGCCAACCAACTTTGAATCCTGGCCCTGGCAGCTTAAAAAGCAAAGTGAGCGTGTGTGTGTGTGTGTGTGTGTGTGTGTCCAAAATCCCAAAGGATGGAGAAATGGAGGAGAAAGGACTGCCGTGCAACTACACCGCACTGGGGGTGCTTCTTCTTCCTCACTGTCTCTCTCTGATAAGCACACACCACCCCTGGCAGTTTAAAATAAAGAAAGGAAAAAATGTTACACTAACCAAACAAGATCATATAATGTTATGAGAAGTGATACAAAACTGTACTTAGGCAAGAAGGTTCTAAAGCCAGACTGGATAGATATTAATGCTGGTCCTAGTGTTTCTTAACTATGAAAAACTAAGTATGTTATTTAAATTCCTGAGACTTAATGATATCTGCAAAATGAAAATATTAATAGCATATACTGCAGAACCAAATGTTAAATGAGAGAATTCATGTAAAGTAGTAATTTAAGAATAAATTCTAGCACATCATAGTAGCCAATAAATGTTAGCTATAGAAATAAAGGGGATGACAAATATTTATCATTATATCTACATATTGGTTACAGTTATAACCCAGTGACGAGGCTAGACATCCCGAACGAAAATATCATTAAGTTGAACAATAAACTTGGGAAGGTGAAATAAGGTGAATTACTGAAATACATTCATGCAGTAGTAACCTCACCCCAGTAACTCTGCTTACAACTTTAGAGAACATGAGAACATCTTTGGCATAGGGTCTTTCCAAGAGGGTAGAAAGTTCATTTACCACTCTAAAAAGAAGCCATATACCATGCAGGAAATAATATATAGGGAATCTCAGACTAAATTAAAGCCACTCAAGTAGAAATTAGGTTATTGGATAAAAACTGCAAAGGTGCCACAGTAACATAAGCATGGGTCAATGTAGTTAAACCAAACTGGCAAAAAACCAAAGGCCTTATTAAGGTAACCAATATAATAAATTCTCCTGTGTAGCAAATTTCTTTAGAACCCATCTTTCCAGCATATTGAATGATTCTTTTCTTTCC